CACATTATGTCGAACCTCTTCAGGAAATTCACTTAGTGGAGTGTTTCTATCCCCCTGGAAGAGATGTGTTCACTGTACAGCAAGGAAATTTGCTCATATCAACTGTGTACTTTATTTATTCACACTGATGTTTCCCTGCAATAGGGAGGGCAGACTGAGACCATGTGGGCAGAAGGAGTGACAGAACAACTGTGTCCCACTCACTGAGGAGGTCACGGGTTCAGGCCTGTACAGTTTCCTTAATGTACATCTGCTCACTCAGCTGTCTGATGGTGAATCACTCCTGTCTCTGTGGAGAAGTGCATATGCTGTTTGCAATGCTGAACCTTCAAGTGTGCAATCATGTCTGTAAAAGGCAGTTTGTGTCTAACAAACCTATTGTAATGTCAAGCATCTGTCAATGGACAGCTTCTCCAGTTGCGTCTCAGTTTTCCCATTTATACAAAAATGACTTGTTTTTCAATAAGGCATAAACCAAGAGGTCATCCCATATGTTGCGATATGTGCATAATGCAAATGTGGTTTTGTCGTATGAAAGCAGCTGTACATTTTGCTTTGTGACTGAAGCTCCTGGCATCTGGGTCCAAACGATACGTGCACTTTCAGTTACCTTAATCTTTTTTATTTCGCAATTGCTGTCTTAAAGAATTGCTCACATTTGCTCAGTTTTCTCAGGCACTCAATATAAACTGAACTGAATATGCTCAAAGATGCATACTCATTTGAGTCCACCGTTAAACAATACATAAACAGTTTGAGACACACCTGAGCATAGTCCTGTTTGAACTACACCTGAGGCAATAATGAAACTGTTGAGGCAGAATGAGAAACAGAACACCATGTAACGGGCAGTGTGTGTGTGTGTGTGTGATGTAAAACAGGCAAGCCCTAAACATGAGTGTGATTTTAATGATCCCTTCCTTCACTTGGCTGTAGAGATTATGTTTCTGCGAGAGCCGCGATAAAGTGCTTATTTTCTCTGATTTATGATAGTACTTGATAAAGAGACATCACTATGAATGGCTGATTTATGGCTTCAAGTGTATAATAACCATTTCTTTTTCTTTGGTGGACTGTGGCTCTGATTTTACAAAAGCACCCTGTGATTTTTCCACTCTCAAAATCACAGAGGGCATTTTGCACCCATCTAATTCACCAAAGGGAGATTTGCATCTCAAATTCTCCTGTCAAGCAAATATCTTATCGTTTAGTGTGCCTACGTTTACAATGAGCCAGCATGCACAGATTTAAAGTACAGGTGCCCATATTCCTCTGTACTCCTGTAAATTAGTGGAAGACTAAGAAACGAACGCAAACAATTGCTCAGTACTGCTTGACGAATGCAGTTAATTTCAAACATTTGCTTTAATATATTTACGAAATAAAAAAAAATAAAGTTAAGAAATTAACTCGCTGCACTGTTGGTTTTACTAAAAGAAAACATTTTAATCATTTTTTCTCTTTCTTTTAAGTAAGTGGCATTGTAAGTTATCCTATTAGTGTATAAAGTTATGTTGCTATTTAAAAGAAAATATACAAATTTAATATAAAAATTTCCAATTCATAGCATCTCTTATTCAGCGGTTAAATGTATTTTAATTTTTCTTTAAATGGAGGTTATCCCTCAGTCTGGGACAAATAATCTAAAAAAAAAATCAATTTTGTGGAGTTTAAATGTTACTTTTTCATTTATTTTGCTGCATCGTTTTTTTTTTTGTTTTTTTTGTTATCATGACTCTACCCATAAGTCATGTTTTTCCTATCCATTCTCATGTTCAAATATTTAAAATGTACCCACTCATGCTAATAAACTACTTGCATCAGCAAATTAAAACATTCTCTTCCAAGCACCCTCTGTGTTTTGAAGTTAATTAATAAAATATAATTTCATGCATGTTGCACTTGTAGGTAGAATCTGATCTTGAGGCTAATCAAACTGATATGGTCCACTTCCATTAATGACACTACTGCTGCAGCCGATGAACCAGTTGGATGATAATGAAGCTAAGAATCAATTACGTACCCTTTTGGGCCCAAAGAGGTTATGGTATAGTGTTCTGAATCTCTTCCTGGTGTAGTTGCATCGATACGCCCCACCCATGAGGTATTCAATGACCAGTCCGATGTCGATGAGACTGATGCGGTAGTCCGGCGGCAGGTTTCCCTATAAACCAGAGCGTGTTAACAACCAACACCAAATGATTAACAAAGGCAGGGGAACCAGTGGGCAGAAATGAGCCACTGTCATACACACTCACAAACACAAAATCCATGTCAAATTGTTTGTGGCTACAAAGGAAAACGTGATCATCGGATTCACCTTGAAGTAGATCCAACTGAACCCTGGATATTCTCGCTTGGAAAGAACACACAATGTCAGTGAGTAAACCGCACGATAAGCAACAGCAGCGGAAATGAGGGACACAGAAACTCAGGCAGGATCTCTCTTCCAGTCTTTAGGAAACGTCTGAGTCTCAACAAGACTTTGCCTCCGTTTGGCCACCATTTTGAAGGTCCGATTCGGTGTGAATGCCAATTTCAGCCTGAAGATTTTCAGAATGCGACTCTCCCGGCACACAAGATGTGGAAAAAGTTTGGAGCTATTTGACTTATAGTGCAATATCTGAGGGCAATCCCAATAAAAATAGACCCGAATTAGTTCTCGTAATTTTATTCAGAAGAGTAATGAGATCTTGTATGAGGTTAAATATTGTGTTGTAGGAAAAAAAAAAAAGGGCACTGCGACTCATTAGCCTGGAAGAGAGTTGCAGTAGGAGCATGGAGCTATATGCGGCTATTAAAGCTTGAGGGGAGAGTTAATGTTGAAACAGGAGTCCATTCATGTGAATCATGTCAATACTCTTTGCTCCTCATCATGCCATCAACCTCAACCTTAGACCCTGCGGTTGTTACGCTGGCCCCCACTGCTCCTTGGAGACACACTGCTTGTCTTACATGTTTAAAATCAACTGAGACGCCACCGCTGCCCCTCTGGTTCTGCAACAGGGCTGAGAGAGCCAACAAGTCTTCTCACTTCAACTCTTTCATTTCTAATGTCCTTAAGTATGTGGAGTAAAAACACTAATTCAAGTGTTGTCTTTTGCAGACTTTCATGGAATAACAGCAAATGAGGAGCCTAAACAATAACATTTTGTCAGCTGTTTGAGTCGATTACCCTCAAATCGTCTTCGGAACAGAATCACTCAGTGAGCATCTATTTGACCAAGAGAAGAAACTGTGACATATTGTTTTAACCTTCATGACTGCTAGCGACCACCGCTTTTTTACTTGCATGTGACTAATGTGTTTTTAATTTGTTACATTTAATTTAAGTCTCAGAAGTTTAATCTATCTGCAGAAAATGCACATTTATTGTGGTTGTATGTATTCAGAAGATAATTAACTTATGTGGTTAGGTAATAATCACTAATGAGAAAGTTACCTGAACCCCTAACCAAAAGAGAAAGCTAACCAACACATTTCTGGATTTTACACTTAACATGTTTAAATTGACCAGATTATCAAGGAAACTTTTAGTGTTTTTAAGAATCAACAAAATGACTCATTCAGAGTGTTTAGTTGAAATCATATTTGGCAGTATATATTTATCAGCATAAAGATGATAAATGTGTGATTTTTTTTCTGCTTCCCCCTAAAGAATCTTAAACACATAAAAGTAATGTGTTTATTTTTAAACACTTTTTTTTTTATCAAGCACAGGATGTACCTTCTCTACATCCAGTTCTCCCATTGCATAATATGGGTTGTTGTCATGGATAGCAACTCAGTGAAAAAGCAGCAGAAGTTCAAAGAAATACTTTGAATGTCTTCTTTAATAAAGAATTTTTAAAAATTAAAATAGAGTACCCAGTGAGCAAAATTCAGTTGAATAAAAAAAAAAAAAAGGATAGTGCATTGGCATCGTTTCCATGGATACGTCTCTCTCTATATGTGACTGAAACATGATTGAAGCTGATCTGGACGAACCATGCCTTACATGTTCTCATTGAATACGCTAAATCCAGATGGGACACATGAAGGAAAATAGCATATAAGCTAAATAAAGGCTAGGAGCATATACAATAGTAAACAACTACAAAGAAAAAAAAGATGTCCCCAGTGTTTGAAGGTATTGGGATGGACCAAGGAAAGAGTGAAAGACATTTTTGCACAGTACTGCATGTGAGCCTCAGTTTTGGGACCAAACTTTTGTGTATGTTGGAAGCTAATTTTATTTGGCAGCCAGACTGAAGCCAATCTCCTTAATTATCCTTAATCTTGACTCAGACTTTTTAAAACGAGGCAGCTGAGTCTTTTTGCTTTTTAGTTCTCCTGAACAATTTGTCTGTCCTCTGATTGTGTTGGTTTAACTTGCCTTTCTTTGTCAGTGGTTATCGAGCCTCATATCGGCTGTGACTTTCTGTTACTCTTTCTGCTGCTGAGATTTCCTTCATGAAAATAAGCCCACATCCACTCCAGAAACCTGCATGCCTGCTGCCTCACAGTTTTAACGTGAAACTCGCACTTTGAAAAATATACATCTTCTGTTAGTACAGCGACGCAATCCTCTGAGAACAATGAGGAATAAAAGAGAACAGCAATGACACAGAGACCTCACCTGAGGGTAGTAGTTAAATCTAATTAGGAACATACTTAAAGCACAGTGACACACAAACACCCAGCTACACTGTTGAAAGAGCACACACATTTGCAGGAAAGCTATGCCCCGCACTAGAGGGCTGCATGATGAGAATAAAACATAATTGTATTAGTAATGTGGTCTCTCGTTTTTTCTTTTTTTACTCAGAAACATCAGCTCAGAGCTCTGCTTCAGACATTGTTTATCTCAAAGCATGTTCAAAATAAGCCCAAAACATGTTAACTGCTGAAAATGTCTAAATAATAAAGGTGGTGCTGCTGTCTCCTGAATGTACAGCAAAGTTAAAACAGACTATTTTATCCAGGGAGATTTTCCTAAATGTGAAATAAAGCCTCTCTCTTTTGTGTCATTGCAAAAAAAAATAAAAAATAAATAAATAAAGGAAAACACACTGAACCATTTTCCTACATTGATTCAACTGCTTCCAATAAAACATAAACAGCATCTACTGAGTTACTCTTGATCAGCACTCGGATCATAACCATTTTTTTTTCTCACTGTCTGAAATTAAATTAAACTGCAAATTTCCTGTTTCAGGTCAGAAAGGATTACTCAGATTACTTATGTTTGCTACACTCCACTCAAACGTAGATGTTTGCATTCATTTCCTTACTGAAGTTGTTTTTTCATGCTTTTCTCGGCTCGTATGTTTTAGGTTTCTTTCCACAAGCTTTTTACAACATCTTAAAATAGCCATTTTGAGATGTTGCTTCAATATTTCCACATGATATTTCTTTATGTATCATGTAAAGGCTGCCAGACCCTCCAGCAGTAAAACAGTTAAACACCATGATGCTGCCACATCAAACATCACAGTTGGAATGGTGTTTTCAGACTTCGAAGCTTCCCGTTTCCCCCAAAGGTGGCCATTATGACTAAACACCAAAATTTTTGTACCATCAGTCCACAGGGTATTTCTCCAAAAATGTGAGTCTTTCTCTCTGAGTGCATTTACAAACCAAAATCTGGCTTTTCTATGTTACATTGGGATTAATGGCTTGTTTCTTGCTGAGGCCTTTCAGCTCATGCTGGTAAAATCTTTTAAGTATTATAATGCATTTGAAAGCCTCTTTTTGCAGTTGTTCTTGTTTTGGTGTGAGACAGACTTCTCTGAGCGGCATCATGGCTGAACATAGACATGCTGTTCAGTTCAGACTGTCCAGATGTGCCTACAATTAGTTGGTCTTAAGTCTACAGAACTATAAAATAATCATCAGGACCTTCCCAAATTATAGAGAGCTGTTTCATTCAAAAATAAATAAACAAATTAAATACTCTAAAAAAAAATATATATATATATATATTTAATTAAATTAATAAGAAGAGATACACCGATCAGAGTTTTCCCGGTCAATACTGTTTCTTATTTTTGAAAATCAAAAAAGAAGAAATATTCAGAGAATGATTACTTTGACAGGAAGCTTATTGTTAGAGATTTCTCCCAAATAGTCTTGGATGGTTTTGTTATCAGACATTTTAAATCATTTTAATAAATTCAGAAAAATCCGAAATCTTGTGAAAATGTTAACGAACAAAATTGCAAGCATTTCCTTTTTAAATTACATTTTCAAATTTTTTGCAGCTAGTTATTACTTTTATTACGGCCTGAAATCATGTAAAGTAGCTTTTTTTTTAATAATCTCATTTAAAAAATAAAATTATTATAAAGTATAAATAATACACCAAACTTAAATAAAATAAATAAATACAACTGAAATGTTATAATAATATATATATATATATATATATATATATATATTTGTTTCGTTTTATCTCATGAGCACATTTATTCATTTAATAGAGTATGGATAACTGGATTGGATTATTTACTAATGATTATTTTTCATTTTATTATTCATTTGTTCATTTCATTAATCTGGAATGAAATGCCAAATAGTTTGAAGACACACTCCTAAAGTATGTAATCTTCAAACTTTGAAGAAATAAATGGAAAAAAAAAATCTGTCCCATCCTAGCATTTAGCATATATTTAACACAAATCCGACTGACCTATGATAGAAAATATTGAGTCTGATGTAATATCAGTGATAAAATAAAGACGTGTCTTTTGTATGTAGAGTGTGTGTAAAGCGTATCTTTCCTCTACGTCCACCTTAGCTCCTGTGGCTTTAGCAATATGTGATGCTTGTGCCGTTTATTTACCGCAGTGGCTTGTGCCTTGAAAACCAGCAAACATTCTGAGTCATGAGGGTTGGAAAACGTGCAAAGCTCTACGCAGCCAAGGCAGTGCACAAAACCAGCTGAAAGAGAAAAGCTGGCCTCTATTTGATGGCAACAGCAGCTAGATCTACCAAATGTATCCACACACAAACATAGACATATACGACATATATATACACACACACACACCACAAAAAAGCAGCAGAACCTCTGTAGTCAAACATGTCCAGTGAACAACATTAGCATCCAGTGAGCCTGAGCAGCTACAGAGCTACTGAAACGGCAGTGACAGGCGTACCTTTTTGACATCTCTGACAAGGTGGTAAAGGGTGTTTGATGGTCCGTGTCGCTGTTAGAAAACAGAGGAAAAAGATGACGTGGCAAGAATTTGTAAAAAAAAAAAAAAAAAAATAAAAAAAAAAAAAAAAATTGTGGCATTATTTCATTTGTTCCTATTATCATACCGTGTTATACAGCTCCTCCAGTCTGGAAAGCGTGAGGAAGCGGTGCATGCTGACACCATTTTCAATCAGCAGCTTGACAAAGTCCACTCTGTCCAAAACCAGGGCATCCAGCATCGCCTGTTCCAGGGAACCCACCTACACAGAGAGAGGAGAACAAAAAAAAAAAAATCATCTGGTATGACATGATAAAACTGCATAACGTGACTCGTTTTTTTATTCTTTAAGTGAGTCATAGTGATCTTTTTTTGTTGTTGTTTTGTGATTCAAGTAAAGAATATTAAAAAATAAAAGCGGAGAACAGTTTTCATTTAAATACCGAACACTACGTGATTTAAAAACTTTAACGTCAATAGGAATTATCTGGAAGCACTTAGCATAGCTGAAGATTTTCATGCATTTACTGCTTCTTACAGGCCACTGCTGTCCGTAAATGAAGATCTGACTTCGTGCAATGTCCACTCTGTTCCACGCAAGAGCCAAACTCAGCTGGTCTGGGGCTGAAGCGTTGGCACCTGGGGTAGGAAACAACAGCATGGCCATAAGCATTTATCCTGATAAGGAAACAGATTGAGGAAAGAAGCATATTTTGTGGGTTATGTTGATATACTGTATGTATGTAGTCATGTCCAAATTTTCCCATATTAACAATAAACCGGGTGGGAAATCGTCTGATTTAGGTAGATGTCAAAGGTCACTAATGTCTGTTTTTGACATAGCATCTCATCCAGAGATACTATGAATCTATTTGGCAGCTTCTTTGATCAATGCCTTCTCATCTGGCCTGTCTGTTCAACTGGCTTGCAGTCATGCTCTATATTTTCAAATGATGGTTTGCAAAGTGTTTTTAAAAACTTTCAAAGCTTAGGACATTGCTTCATATTATAATCCTACATTAAACTTCTCCTAAACCGTATTGCCTATTGACGTCTCTTGTGAATACGATGATGTTTGTTCACTAGCAGATTTCAGAGGCATCCATGCTGAGGTTAGATAACACACAAATGGATACAGTGTATTAATTAGGTGACTTCTGAAGACGGATGTCTGCAATGGATTGAGAGTAAAGGAGGCTGAATAACGGTGCACTCTAACTTTTCATATGTTCTTTCAGAAATCTTTTTTTTTTTTTTTAAACATGAAAATCTTGTAATATTTTCCTGGCATCTCACAGTTATAAATTGAAATAAAAATTATGTAAATAAATACACAGAAGTTGAAAGAAAAAAAAAGAAAACAAAACCATGGGAATGCTTTTGCAAGGTATTGGGGGAAGCGTCGCTGCTTCACTGTGTTTCTGGCTCACTTAAGTTCTCATCAACCAAAACCACAATTTGGTGTCCTTGTTAAAACGTACGACCTCACTGCAAGGAAATCTAAGGAAGCCACTGTAATGCAACAATGGGTGATTTTTAATGAGCACGACGCCTTCCCTGTGGTTTAAACGTCTGAGCAGAATTACTGGGGCTTACTGGTACGAGTTCAGACCGAGTCCCGCTAATAAGACGCAACACCTACTAATAAGCGCTTTAGCAGAGATATGTCTACGTTAAAAACCAGTGTGACTGTGCTGCTTTATCAGAGGCCCCCGCGCTCATTGCGTCTCCCTCGGGGTTCTGAGCCGCAGTGAATTAACTTGACGTACTCGGTCCTCGGGATGCGAGCCAAACAGTCAGCCATCAATCACACCTTCAAGTTACACAGCGAGTCCTTCCAACTCTTCTCTTTTCCCACTTCCCTTAATCACTCAATCTCTCACATACATGCTCAGGCACTCAAATAATTTCTCTTACTTTTTGGTCTGTTCTCTCCTCAAGTCATGTGTCTAACTCTGTTGTGTTTAGCTGAGCTGCAGGCAGCAGCTTACTTCCCCAGCAAACAGACCTAATCCAGTGTTTTAGAAAGCGCTCATGCAAGATGATTTACACCTCCAATTGATTCCAGTGCAGCAGAACGAGGCTTGCATGTTAATTTGCCATCTGTCACAGTGTTGACCATTAAGTATGTGTGTTTTTTTAAGCTCTTCTCTTATCTTTAAGTTTCCCAATTTATTTCATATAATTTTCCTCTCTTTTCTCTGTCTTTGATCCTCCTTCGCTTGTTCGTCTGAATTCCGTTCCTGTCACAATTCGCGCGAGAGAAAATAAAAAAGGGATGAGAAGGAGAACAAAAATGATGGTTAGATCAACAGATAATATGAAAAGAATGTGAGCGGAATAAAAGCATGTGTAAACTAAAGGAACAAGAGCGGACAAATCTGGGATGAGCTTAAAAACGGGGAGCGAAAAACGGGCTGAGAAATCATGCGCCATCAATGCTGCACATAAATTGTTTAAAACGCATTCCTCTTTTACACTTTTCCTCTACAAACTGCAGTTTGTGTCTTTTTCTCCTCTGCGGGCTGAAGTGCTTTCCTGAAACGCAGTTCCTGAGATAATCAATCATTTGCTCTGAATTGCTAAGCAGCCTCACAGGACCTGCTGCTCCTTTGTACCCATGCATACGTCTGTTCAGTCTGTATTTATGTGTACAAATGTGAGCGTGAAAAGGAATGAGCCGCTGTCCCCGAGGAAACCAGAGAAACCATGGTCAATACAAGCTACTGAACAACAATCAGAAGTATGGATTCCTCAGTGGTGAGTGCGCGTGTGTGTCCCTGGGAGATATGTGAGAACACAGAGCAATATAGGTTTAGCTGAACCGTGCACACTTTGATAAACTTTATTTCCAGCAGTTTCCCTAGCTAGCAAGTAAATAATTTGTTAAAGTGTATAGAATTTATTTAGACTGCCAGTCAAAGTTTTATCCAGCTGAACATCTCTGGATGCAGAAGAAAAGACCGAGTGCTCAAACTAGATTATGCGTGCTGCCTTGTTTGGGTAAAATGACTGGAGAAGACAATCTTGGCTAGATCCTGTTCAGTAGAAATGAGATTTTTTTTTTCTTATATATATATTTTCCCAAACATTTCTATGCAACCAGTCCAAGATTATTGTCTACTGTGAGTGGACTTGAAGAGTCATTCTGATTATTCCTGTTTGTGGTAAATTAGGATTACCAACAGTGTTTTTGTTTTCAAAATGTCAGAATAATTTCAGAGATATTTTCATTGCTTCCTTCAAATAGATGTATATTACTGTGCCTCTCAACAAGTAAAAAAAAAAAACATCATGGCTTTTATAAAGACTTCTGATAGATTAATTTACAAAAGTGAAGATAACTAAAGGCAAACGTGAATACATTTTAAAGCAAAATATGCTTTCTTGAATGGCATTGTGGGAAAATAAAAAGATATCGGTCAAGAAGAGAAATGTGGACCTTCACTAGTCTGGTAAACTCTTACATACAATTTCCAGATGCCTTGAAAGAAAACATAAAAAGTGAGATAACAGAAAGGTCTCTGTTGCATGCCCTGTGATCAGACTCCACTAAAATCAAAGTGTTTGGCCATATGCTCATCATTACATTTGGAGGAAACAGTGGAACTTCAAGAACACTGTTCCAACTGTGTCATACGGAGACGGGGGCATTATGTGTGTGTTCTGCTGCAGAAGGTAATGGTGTAAAGTCACGAAGGGGAAACGGTGAGCCCATCAGTTATAGTGGTCTTGCTCTCAGGTGATCCTTTTTGGATCTTTTCCAAAGTACCTCCAGTCACCCCCAAACTGGAGCAGTGGCTCAAACAGATCCCAGGAACAACATCAGACATCTCAGT